AGCCAGGGAGCCAGGGAGCCAGCATGAATGTAACACATTCAGCTCCAAAGCCAAATACATATTTACTTTTTACACTATATACAAATTCAAACAACGCCAATGAAGTTGCAAAAATTCAGAGGGCAAAACTCAAAAATATCTATTAGGTCGGGTCCTCCACTGTACATTACCAAACGATGTCATGAACTTAAAATCACTTTCTCGAACCAAATGACCAATCGATGGAACTCCCAGTCCCAGTTGCTGTCGAAGATCCAGAGTTTTCAGCATATTTGATAGGAACAATGAAAAAGGAAGATTTACCAGGGATGGTAAGCAGCAAAACGCCGAACATGAATTTGTGAGATAATCACAATAATCTGAAAATTAAGAGCTTGCACTTTCTGTGCAGTGATCAGATTTTGAATGATCCCTTGAAGTGTCCATGGCACACCAAACGCAGCTTCGCTTGAATTTTAAGGATCTTGGGACCAGAAAAGAATAAATTCGAGGTGACTTTATTTACTAGGATCCTTCTATCCTGCCCTTTCCATTTCTCTTTGACATCCTGGAGATCCTCCACATCCCTAGAAGGCTAAAAAGGCGATGCACTTACCATAAAGTTTGTGAGACAGTAGCTTGGACATGCTATCATAATGACCGTGGAGCAAAGTACACATTCACTGCAACAGCAAAGAAAGGTCAAGAACATTTAGCTTACTTGAAAAGGAACATCAATGCAGGAGGAAAAGAGCAGAAAAAAGATGCTGAAATGAAGTCCAGGAACAGCATAAAACCCACCCCACCGAAAAAATAATTAGGTGGAATATTCGAGAGTGTAGGCAGTACTGTGCAGCATTAACTTATGCAGGCAGAATGGTGTGATTTCATGAAATGAATGATATAGTCACCACTTTCAAAAGCAGAAGTATATCCTTTTGAACTCATGCAACGTTAATTGCTCTAGGAACAAATTCTAACCCTTGCTGGATTACTGCACGCACAAGACGATCAATTTTACTCCAAACAAAGTTTCTTGTTTCCCTGTTTCTGATGGACTAGTCAGTGGAGATGCTGAAAAAGCAGAGAATTTTCTGCCATTTGAGAACTCAAATCAGATGGTAAAGGCTGCAGCAATCCATTGTTCGACAAGTCTTCCAAGGATTTAATGTCTTGCTGCAATCGAGCCACATGTAGAATGGCATGATCAAGAACTAAAGGATCATCGGGGGGTTATGAAGAAGATTAAGCAAAGCCTGTTTATAAACTTGAGCAGACAATAATGGCCTTGCTACCTGCCGAGTTCTACAGAAAGTTGCCACCTTAATGACATGTTTACAGAGATTTCCCAGCTTAGACCAGGAACAATCACAAAGTGAAAATTCTGAACCAGGATTCCAAACTGTATACACCAAGCTTCTGTCTGTCTGTGATATGATCTTTGCAAAATGGAGATTTTGATCATCCAGTAGTACATCAACATCTGGAATGTGGAGAGCAAGATACCAAGCATTGGAGGAGAAATAATTTTCCCATAGATTCTCAAAATACCCTGTTTCTACATTGTACTGGTCTAGCCAGTATAACGAGTGAAATTCAGTAGTTAAAGTGTGGATTAGCCAATCGATTCTTGGCCAGAAATTAGCATAATTCTCCTTCAGAAGCCTGGACTTTAGTATTAGGTGATAGGATTCTATTGCAGCATGCAAGTCTGGAGTTGTTACAGGGAGTGACTTTATGCCATTAACCCACATATCTGCAGGACAGAACACAGAAACATAATTGATTCAGACAGTCTTGAGGATTGTGTATTTGTACAGTATTCGATATTAATGTTTCAGGAGCATGGTCAAATGCAATAATTGCTCACGTAACTGTTACCTGGCGGACATGAATAGACATATCTTTTGTTTGGACTGCGAAGTTTTAATTTTGGATTATTTGTCCCACTAGATTTGGCTCTTTTGAGTCACCTATGTAATAGTTCACTATCTATCTCAGGGTCAGGTTTGCTATTGGAATTGATTAATACTAAAGTTGGTAAGTTTTCAGTTTCCATTGGCGGCTCCTATATGTTGAAAATCACACATTGGTCAGATAAAGAAAGTTTGTGATGAAAAAGCTAACCGAAGGCCTCTTCTAATCTTTAAGGGCAAGAGCATATGTATCTTCAATATATACAAAATTAACCAACACTTGAAAATACCTATATTTGATAGCCAATGGCTCTTGACATAGTCTATGAAGCCACACTGATCAACAATATTTGCATGAACTCTTCAATGGCTTCTACAACACTAGGCCCACATCTTGCACTGTACAAAATCCCACCCATATGCCTGAACATCTCACGTTGCACCTCAATGTTGCTGCATTTCTTTTGAAGCTTTTTAATCCAAGCACGGCGAACATGCCAGGTGCATAATAGGATGCGACATTGAAAAGCCTCTCTGCAATAAGCATAACCCAACTCCAATTGCTTTTTAGACCCTCCTTCAAAAGAGAAGAAGAAGTTGAATGGAACTGAGAAGAACTGCAGTGATATCTTTACCTTATGATAGAAAAGTCAAAGGATGGATTATCCAACAACACGGCACTAGGCTTCCATCTGGCATCCCTGGTTCTTATTCTTTCACATAGCAACCCAATCCACTTATGTATGCCTTTATTAACTGAGGATGATGTGATAATCCAAGCAACTGGAATTGCATTTTGGGATGTATTGAAAACAAGTAAAGAACAAAGGGGAAACTGTCAAGGGCAGAGAGAAAAAGCATAAGGCATTTTGGTATCACTATACTATAAACCCTTAAAATTTATATATCATTATGCCGATGATTAATTTTATCACACCATAAACCAGTTTGTTGCCAATGATCTAGAATGTTAATAAAATATGTATCCCTTAAAAATGCATCTCCCTTTAGTGCCATCACAAATATTAAAAACGCATTGTTAAATTTACGGGAAAAAAAGAGCATTAAAAGACAAGATGCAGTACCTTAAGTTTCTTTGAGCCAAATGCTGAATGAAAAGAGATGAAACTATTATGTCCATAACGAAGCATTTGCTGCAACTGCCAATCAGTCTGTATTGCCAAGACAAAGGATTCTGAAACAGAGTTGTCTTGGAAGTAGAAAACGTGCTTCTGATGGCGTTGAACCCATATCCTTACACTGTATTCATCATTTTCCTGCAGTTCATGAGTAGAATTACGAATAATCCTTTCCATGTTGCGCACATCGTTTCGAGTGAGAAAATCATCACGGTTATGTGGTCCACCTTGCTTCTGCATCACCTCTGTGTGGTGCTGTATTATGTCATCCAATGATATTCCAACATAAAGCATAAACATCACTTTTTGACGTAACTCATCTGAAATTCGTGGGGCATACATAGCTCTTGTTCCTACAGCATTTCTGTCAAGCATCCCATGACAAGGTGACCCTGTTTTATCCACGTGTCTTCTTTGGTTATATATGATGAGGGCAAGCAGGGGTCGCATGTATAACCTCTTAACAGTAAAGTGGCATAGGCAGCCCCTCATCATGTGACGCCTTCCTGGCCTGCTCCCCTTTCCTGAAGCAGGTTGGTACTTGTGCCATCCCTAAAAGCTGATTGACTCTCTCGGTAGTCTTCAGGACCATAAGAACACCAATATCTAAAAATCAACAGGTATAATTATCTAGCTGATTACATAAAGCTTTGAATTTTCTAAAAAGGCTCGGAAGAAAATAGCATTTTGGATAACTTCAACAATGAACTTTTCTCCCCAGAATGAACTCTTATAAAAAAGTTAGACAACTAAGCTTTGAAAATATAATATATATATACATAATATATATATATATATATATTGATATGAGATATAGCCATCCGTCCAATAAATGGCTAAAATCCAGGAGAGACCAAAACTATCATCAAGCATATGTTAAATCAAGAGAGAGAGTCGCCACCCAGTGATTTTAGGTAAACGACATCTTACAGTGTGTATTCGAGATATCCATCAACCCTCGGTTTACTGATGCTCCCTTCAGATCTTTTTCTTCTTGATTCTATGCGGAAGTTAGCAGGGCATTCTGCATTGGAAGACTCTCCTTTAACAAAATCATCCACTCTGGCAAAAGGAATCAAAGCAATATCATCACCACCTTGGCGACCACCTTCTACTTTTACCCACTTTATATGAGCAGCAGAAAATTCAGGACAAGGAGGGTCTTGCACTGGAAGGTTTAGAATGTCCTCCATCTTGGCATCTGTAAATCAAAATAAACGTACAAAAATAAGGCATGTGGGTCTAATAAATTAGCATTACGAATGTTTCCATGGTAGTGCATTATATTTATGGACATCACAAGCACGACTGTCACATTCACATATGAGAAATGAAGATGCCTTTGATTTGTAATTAAGAAGCCTTTTATACTTATCAGGTGCAATGAGATGCTGAGGAGCACCGAACGAGTATATCACAGGCTAAAATGAGAAAGACCGAGAAAACATCTATGTCAAGTAGCCATAAAAGGTTTAAATATGCATAGGGTCACCAACACAAGCATACTTTCTTCCCTTGAATTTAGTTCTCAATAGTGGAACTCAATCTGACAATCATCAACATTTTCCGGGTGCACACAGTCCACTCAACCAAATTCATTGATCTAAAATTCCTAATCCAGGTGTATTAAAAACTGAAACTATTTTTCCCAGTCCACCCTTCAAACAGCCGACAAGATACTTAAAAAAGCTTCATGATAAAAGGTCAATATTTCTCATAAAAAAAAAAAAAACATAACTTTCTCTCGTTTTCCCTCGAGCGAAAGCGGTTCGCCAGATTGAGGATTCAGAGATTTTTCTTTTTGGAAGAGAGAAATGAAGAATGAGTTGCTGGAGTGAGGAGGCGCACTAGATGCTCACCGTTGACAAAAGTAAGTCTATCTCCGACCACCGACCCCTATTCGTCGACGCTAGCTACGAGACTGAAATCACAACACTAAACGAACAGCAACCTCCAGTACCTGGTCAAAGTTGAGCTACCAAATGTCATGAGGCTAGTTAACATTGGGCTGAATTTCTTTAGGCGCTCTAGCCCAACCATACCTGTTCACCATGCTTCATAGTTATTGAAAAAAATAAGAGTTAAAAAGATATACTATCTTCATTTAAAAATATAAAATATTTTTAAACATATAATTTTTAAAAAAATATTTTTAATTTTTTAAAGTATAATTATTATTTTTTTTAAAAGTCTTCCTGTTAATAATAATTTTATATTTATTATAAGGTGTTTAATAAAATAAATATGAAAAGATAGAGTTAGTTGAAAAGTAAGTAACAATTTTATTGAGGGTGAAATTTAATTAAAAGTATTTTATATTTTCTATGGAGGGAATAATAATTATAAAAACAAGACTAATATCCTATTTATAGTTTTATTTTTTCTTTTTGGCGCTATCTTCTTTCTATCATTGTGTTTATCAAATCTGGTTCGTCATATGGATCCAAAAAAATATACTCCTTTTGTTTAAAATATAAGTATTTTTTTAAGAGTTTAATGTTAAAAAATATAAGACATTTTTAGTTTTTTCATATGTAATTATTGCCTTTTTTCAAAAGTGTCCCTATTGATAATGACTTTATATTTATTGTAAGGTATTTAATAGAAATAAATAAAAAAAGATAAGATTAGTTAAAAAAAGGAAGTAACTACTTTATTGGAGTGAGATTCAATTAAAAATATCTTATATTTTTAAACGGAGGGAATAGTTGAAATAAAACAACATCAACATCAACATCACAAATTAGTAATACCAGTAGCCTATATTATTATGTTTGGATGGATGGATTTAAATTAAAAATTAGATTTAAAATTTTATAGTTGAAATCTCACATTTAAAATTTATATATTCTAAATTTTTTTGTTAGATGATATAAAAAATTTTAAATCATAATATTAAAATTCTTTGTTTGGATCTTAAATAAAATTTCAAATTTTTAATTATATATTTAAATTTAAAGAAAACTCGAATGACATTAGAGATTCGATCCAAATAAGGGGGGCGGCCCGATCAAAATGACTCCGACTATCCAAACCCAGACAACGTAAGTGGTCTAGACTCAATAAGCTATGGCAGCCCAATCCAAACAATGCTTATGAATTAGCACAGGATGATTACAGTAGTTTGAGAGTTGTATATTTGACAAGGATGACTACACTAGATCATTTCCCAGTAACATCAGCATTTGGCACTAGATAATAATGGTGATCATAGACTAATTTCAGACTGCAATGACAGTCAGGTCATAGTTAGCGCTGATGGTTAGGCCCCAATTGATGTTAGCAGTGTAGCCCCAATCAACGTTGGCCGTTTGGTCCCGATCACAGTCGATGATCTAGTCCAAATTTTAATCATCGTCAGCAATCTAATGCTGATCAAAGCTGACCATCCGATCTTTGTTGGCTCACATGTTTGGTCTTGGTTATAATTATCGTTTATTCAAACTGCCAAAACCATATGAAGGGCACGTTTGGGTTTTCAATAACATTGTATAGCATAAACTTCAAATCATCCCTCATGAAAGCATAAACTGATGAATGCTTGTTTCAAGTGTGTGGATTTAATAGGAAAAAATTCGACATAAACAACCATTAATTAACTTTACCAGATGGTGTGTGAGGTGAAAAAAAGCTCTTTACAAACACTATTGCATCATATCATCCTCTCACATAATGTTGTCATTCATATCCATTCATGTCCATGGCAAATATATGGCAGGTTGATTGTAAAAGTTCATTCATGTCCCTTGCGCATGACTAGCCTATCTAACTTTATTATTTGTATCTCTTCTGAGCCTGTGCTAGAAGGTAAAGCCTAAAAGAAATTTACATAAAAAGTTTTGAAGGAAAAATTATAGCAGTTGAATGGTTCAAGAGATAAATTATATTAAAGGAAAAATTTTACTATTTTAATTACCATGATTAAGCATCACATACATCTTTCTCCAAATGATGCATGTCCATGGTTATTTGATCCTTTCAACTTTATGATTCAATCATACATGCTTAGAATGTGAGAAATATTTTGTTTTTCGTTGGAAAAGCATCAAATGATTTTCCAACAACCTCAATCCACTCACCAACTGATCTAGTCACATCCTTTTGTTAGAGAGATTGAATGGCTCTAAAATAAGCTAGATCCATCACGTTCAAATCAAGAGAATTAGGAGGCTGACAATACAATGAATGTCAAACCCCCTTCAGAAGCTGCTCTACAAAACTAATCACCATCTACATCAACATGGTATGGTGCATTATCTTGCCGTCTAAAAATAGTTTTTCCTGCATCTTTCTCTTGGCCATTTTTCCTTGACGGCGGGTAAAACTTCATTAATTAAGAACCTTCGGCTAACCTCGTCAGTGATAGAAGTAATTGGTTTCATTTCGAGTATCCCTGCTACTTTATTGACGCTTGTCCTTCTTGCTGGAACTTTAGCGACTAAAGGAAACACATGCCACTGTAGCTAAAAACATTACCTTCTTGACGTAGTTTTTGTTTTTGCATGTGCAGTGCGGCTCATTCTCGTTTCTGTGCAGATAGAAGTTTGTGCATTCTTGAGTCCCTTGAAACCATTTTTCATATACATGAACAACATTATACATAGATTTAAACATGGGATCATCATTTATGCTACTTTCTTTAAGCAAGGACAAGCAAAATCTAGGACAAGAAATCATGTTCCCCTCCTTCAAGAACGGCTTGAGTGCATTTGAATGTCACCGGAGCTCTCTTTCCTTAATAAACGGAACCAATGCTGTTGTGCTAATGTTCAAAGCATGTGCCAAATATTGATTAGTTTGCTGCTTTAATAATGGAACTTCACGAACCGTTGCAATGTCCACATGGACATTTTTCCTTCCACAATTTCTTGTTCTCCTATGACATATATCACCTGTTTCCCTCACTCGATTCCATATGCAACATATGACATGGATAGAGACGAAATATAATGAAGCCATGCATTTTGCAGTCCTCGGTTTAAGTTTTCCTCCTATACTTGTATGCAGGAGCACTTGACTAATGTCTGTTCGTTGTTTATTACTTAAACAGGCTCATTTTGTAGTTGGTTCTCTTTCCTATTCAACCATAGCATCTTCTGCAGCATAAAATGGACAAATAAAGAAATAACAAAAAACAAATATTATATATTCTCGACAAGACACCATGTAGATGGAAACCTGCATTGGTGATTGCATCCATTTTGTCCACAGAGAACTCGGTGTCCAAGTCAAAGTCCTCATCCTCTTATTGTTAAAATATAAGGTATTCGGGGTCGTCATTTACATACAATTGAGGGACGTTTAAATCTATACGCAAAGGTGCTCCATTCACAGCATTCAAATGCAGATGAGATGCTTTGTTTTCTTCCACAATAACACAGTCATCGGAGAGGCTCTGTTTTCTTCCACCAAAACAGAGGTCGTTGGAGATGTATCCATCAATAGAGAGGGAGGTTGATTCAAATCTATGTGAAGTGGCATCTCCTTCAAATCCCTGAGACACGAAAATTATGATGGGAGAATTTCCTAA